AGAGAATAACCTTCACATCAATGTGAAGAAGACAAAGGAGATGATTGTGGACTTCAGAAGGAACAAAAACACCTACACCCCCCTGAACATAAGAGGATCTGCGGTGGAAGTGGTCTCCAGCTACAAGTACTTGGGTGTACACATGAATGACAACCTCAGCTGGAGCAACAACACCACCAGCCTGATCAAGAAAGCTCATCAGAGACTCTACTTCCTCAGACGGCTGAGGCGAGCTGGTCTGGGAAGCTCAGTCCTCACCTCCTTCTACAGGTGTGCAGTGGAGAGCATCCTGTGCTCCAGCATCAATGTGTGGCATGGAGGCTGCACAGCTGCAGAAAGAAAAGCTTTGCAGAGAGTGGTGAAGGCTGCACAGAAGTCTGTCGGAATCAGCCTCCCCACCATCACAGACATCTACACCTCTAGATGCAGGAAGAGGGCTACCTGCATCATGAAGGACCTCACTCACCCAGCACACACACTTTTTGCCCCACTCCCCTCAGGAAGGAGGTTGAGGAGCATTAAGTGTAGAACCACTAGACTGAGGAACAGCTTATACCCTGAGGCTGTTAGACTCATGAATCTCTAACTAGAATAATCACTGTGAAAAATCACATCATGTTGCTGCTGATCTGTTTCATGTTGCTGCTGATCTGTTTCAATGTTGATGTGTTCATGCATGCTCATCTGCTCACACAGACTCATGTTCATGTTTGTGCTGATGTTTAATGTTTTTATGTTATGAGTGCTTAGTGTATATTTAGTTGATGTTTTTCTTAGTTCATATCTTAGATGTTATTACAGTTTTTCTTATACATTTTATTATTGGATGTAACTGGGACCCTGTGTACATAATTTCGCTCCACCACATGTACCACATGAGGTGCAAATGACAATAAAGAAACTCTGACTCTGACTCTGACTCTGAAGTAAGATTTTGAATTATATTCTGAAATTAACTAGAGACATATGATCTCTCCTAATTCTATCAGAACACCCCCACCTCAAGAGTTTAGTGGACATCATGAGAATAAATAAATGCAATAGTTCAGCCTAGGAGTGATAAAGATGTGAACTAGATTTTTTATTATTATTATTGTTTTGGGATAGGATGTTATCAATTTCAGTTTTTAGTAATAAAATAATGTACCAGTGCTGTGTGGACAGAATGTAACTGGAGCTTTAATGTTGCTGTTTGGTATTTTCAGATAGCCAGTGGAATGTTTGGCGGCAGTGGAGCAGCACAAACCCGGGCCATGCAGCAGCAGCAGCAGCAGCCTCCTCAGCCACCAGTGCCACCGCTCAGCTCCTCCCAGCCTAGTCTACGTGCTCAAGTGCCTCAGTTTCTCTCCCCTCAGGTAGTCACATGCAGACTGTAGGTCATTAAAATATATGCATTGCTGGTTAACAGACAGTATGCAGTAATTAACCTAGCATGGTGAAAGTGGGCTCAGAGATTGTTCTCTGAACTCCAGAAGATTTCATCACAATCACATTGTTGATGCTGCCACTAGGGGCCGCTGTTGTCATTTAAATGTGTGTCTTCTCACCTCTCTCCATTTATTTCTCATCTTCTCTTGTCTCCTGTCTGGCCAGGTCCAAGCACAGCTCTTGCAGTTTGCAGCAAAAAACATTGGTCTAAATCCTGCACTTTTAACCTCACCAATAAACCCTCAACAAATGAACTTGTTGTATCAAATCCAGCAACTGCAAATGGTAAAGCTGTCTTTACTGAACATTGATCTCACCTGGTTTCTGCACAACAATTGTCAACATTTGAAAACATGATCAATAAAAGTATCTCTGTTTATTTCTTTCACATAATGGTTTGTTCCTTCTGTTCAGGCATACCAGCGTTTACAAATCCAGCAACAGATGATGCAGGCACAACGCAACGTTTCCGGCCCCATTAGGCAACAAGAGCAGCAAGTGAGTCACTGAAAGCGTGAGAGCAGGAACTAAAACGTTTGGGTGTTCATTACATGATGTGACAAATGCTGTCTCTGAGTGGTGACTGGGCTTCATCCTAATATTTAATTTTATATTCACACTGCTTTATTAACAACATAAAAACTTTTGTTCTAAACTTCTTTTAGAATAGCCTTTAGACATTGTTATTAACCACAAAATATTGTTTTATTTAACAAAGGAGGGCTTTACATTCGTCTAACATTCATTTTTTTCTTAAGTTTTGATTTTTGTCTTATTGTCCTCGTGCTACTAAATATTGTTTTGATTCCTCTTGCTTTCTCCTTATAGCGCAACAAGCAGGCATTTTTCTTTATTTGTTGTTAAGACATGAATTATTTTTCTCCTCCAGTTTGCACGTACAATCACCAACATTCAGCAGCAGATCCAGCAAATCCAGCAGCACCAGCGTCAGCTGTACCAGGCGCTGCTGATGAAGCAGCAGCAACTTCCCTCACATTCCTCCTCTTCCTCTTCCTCTGCTGGTCTGCACCCTCCCGGTGGCCCAGCCGGAGGCCCTGGAAAATCAACCTTGGACCTCTTCGCAGGCCCCCACCAGGCTCCGGGTCTCACTGACACCCTGCACACCAAAGAGCCTCCGTCTTCGCCCAATGCCTACAGCACCTACCCTCTCTGTAAGTCTTGGGACTGTGTCAGAACTTGTTGGACTGTTCCCATGAAACTTCTCCTCTTGTTAGTAGAAGCTGTGCTGTTGTAAACGTAACTGGAATGTGTTTGTGTTTTGTCTGCAGCTGGACTGAATCCAAACATGAATGTAAATGGCATGGACGTTGGGGGACTGTCCCTGAAGGAGCCCCCCCTGCCCCAATCCCGCTTGTCCCAGTGGACACACTCAAACTCAATGGACAACCACTCTGGCAACTCCTCAAATATGGAGAATAACCTCAATAAGCATGGTAGGTTCAGAATGGTACCATGAAGTGTTAGAAAACAGGCTTTCTGTTGGTGTCAGATCTTTCAGAAAAACAACTTGCTCATAGTTCAGATGTTGCACATGCATAAACAAATAATAATGACTGACTCGGGTCGTGCTGTGTAGCCAGCCCCATGTTTAGAGGGCAGTGTGGTTGTCAGTCTGTCACCTGCAGTACACTCAATAAGCTCAGTTTAGATTAGTAGGAAGGAAAGAGTTTTACAACGTGTTACTTTATGTCTTGTGACAAAGTTTGCATGCTCCTGGTGTTGCAACATGCTCTGTGTGCAACACCAGATTGCAAAACAGACCATGTTCATGTAGGAGTAAAAATTCACAGAATCGTCCGCTCTGGTGTCGAGCTTAAATTGTCCTTATATGCAGATGACCTTCTCCTGTATGTCTCTGACCCTTTACGGAGTCTTCCCCCAATTTTAAATATTCTAGAAAAATTTGGATCATATTCTGGCTATAAAATTAACTCACTTAAAAGTGAATGCTATCCAGTGAATTCATTAGCTTTAAAGCTTAAGCCTTCTGATATCCCTTTTAGGCTCAGTCCCTCGGGATTTAGGTACTTAGGAATTAATATTACACGTACTTTGCCCTCAATGTTTTCTCAGAATTATGCCTCACTAGTTTCCCAAATTGCATCAGATTTACAGAGATGGAACTCTCTCCCTCTTTCATTGATTGGTAGGATTAATATTATCAAAATGAATGTACTACCTAGACTTTTGTTTTTATATCAAAATATCCCTCTGTTCTTGCCCAAACAGTTCTTCAGGTCCCTGGATCAGATGGTCTCATCTTTTTTATGGAACGGAAAGGCCCCCAGAATGAGACTTTCTTTATTACAACAGTTCACCACAAACGGGGGTCTTTCTCTACCTAATTTTACAATGTATTACTGGTCCTCACATATCCATAAACTGACTTATTGGTTAAATTCACCTGATCTGATTTGGTGTAAACTTGAAATTCAGTCGATTTCTGCATCTTTTTCGCCCGCTTCAATTATTTATTCATCATTACCAATTAAATTATCCTCAGTTACTACAAATCCTATAGTGCTCTCAACACTCAGGATCTGGTCACAATTTAGGTCCCACTTTAAATTTGTATCACCCTCTAATAAAATGCCGTTACTAAAGAATCACATTTTTTCTCCAGCATCTAATAATGCTGCCTATAGAATTTGGTATGAGAAAGGTATTAGAACAATGAGAGACCTGTACGAAGATGGTTTATTTCTTAGTTTTTCAGAATTGTCTTCTAAATTTAATCTACCCACTTCACATTTGTTTCTTTACTTCCAAATTAGGCATTGCGTTTCATCGCAGTTTCAAAATTTTCTAACTTTGCCTACTGACCCACCATGGGTTGAACTCTTAGTTTTGAGCCCCAATTTGAAATCTCCTCTTTCAATTATTTATGGAAAACTTATGGCAATAGAGGCCGATTCATCGGGTAAAACTAGAACTGCATGGGAACGTGAACTGGGTGTTAAACTATCAGATTCATGGTGGGATAAAGTTATTCTCAGCATACGTCAGAGTACACCATGTGCCAGACTACAGTTAATACAATTTAAAGTAATAAATAGAGTACACTTCTCAAAAACACGTTTATCTAAAATGTTCCCCTCAATACCAGACCAGTGTGATAGATGTCAGACTTCACCTTGCAACTTAAGTCATATGTTCTTTTTCTGCCCAAAACTGCAAGGGTTTTGGAAATATTTTTTCTCCATACTCTCAGGAGTTTTTAAGATTCAGTTTCAAAGTGATCCACTTATTGCTATTTTTGGAGTTCCTGGGACCACACTTAATCTATCCCGCCAGCAGGGGGAGGTCTTGGCCTTTTGCTCTCTCCTTGCCAGACGTTGTATTTTGCTCGCCTGGAAATCTCCCACACCACCATCCACATCACAATGGCTTAATACTGTAAGATCATACTTGAAGATGGAAAAAATTTTACTAACAGTGAAAGGTAGTTCAGAAAAATTTACCCACAAGTGGACACCCTTTGTGTCATATGTAAAATCTTTACCTTCATAGCGTATAGACTGATATGATTGACTCATCACATTACCATGTGACTTGTTTTTAGAGGATAAATGAAAGACTGAAATACTGTTTTCCTTTTGGTTTGTTGGGTCCCTCCTGTTCGTTCCTCCTCCCCCTCTCTCTCTTTTTTTTTTTTCTCTCCTTTTTTTTTCTTTCCTTATTTTGTCTTGTTTTTGGTTAAGGGGGGAAGGGGAGGGAGGGGAAGAGGGGAGGGAGGGGGGAAAAGGGGGAAGGAAAAAAAGAAAAAATTGGAGAAGTCATGTAAATTTTGTATAATGTATGTAATGTCAATTATATATTCTCCTGATAAATAAAAATTAAAAAAAAAAAAAAAAGGAGTAAAAATTCACACAATACTGCGAGCAACAAATATATCTGTGGTGAACTTGTTCTCAGCTCTGTCCTGTCCACAAAAGTCCTTTCTAAACTGCTCGTCTGCGTTCACGCCTACATGCAACACACTCTCTTCAGTGTCTTTATGACTTGTTTATGGATCAGCAGCTGATGGTAACATATGGTTGCTTGCCTCTTTCAAGCCTTTTAATTTGCACTTTAGCTTTGTTTCCACACATTTTGGCAGCATGTACCAAAGACTGTGTCTAAGAGGAATTTATTAGGAGTAACAAGTCAGAAAAAAGCTGCTCAGCCTTATAAACACCTTTTTTTTCTAGTTTGTAAGCATTAATTGTTTTTGTCTTAAAGTAACATGTTTTTTGCGACTTTTACTCCAGTGTTTGATTAGTTTCTTTTGGTATGTCTTTGTATACATGGAGGATATTTTAATATTACTAGAAGCGTACTAAATCTGTATCTTCTTCTTGTTTGTGAGTGAAATGAAGTGTCCAGAACACAAGATATACTTCTTATAATTTGTTTAGCAGTAAGTTCAACTTGCTGCGATGACGTCCCACAAACATTTGACTTGTCTGAACGTTTCAAAGTGTTTGCACAGTAACTGTTTTTATTCTCACAAGCTTTATTTTACTCCGTGTAGCTGTCTGCTTGTCTTGCAAAGAGTGATATCAGGGAGTGAAAGCCACAGGTGTGTGGCTACCATAGTGACCCTCAAGTATAAGTGCTATGCGTTGTCATCATTGTATGTTCCCATACATTGACAAAATTAGATCTTTGTATTTACCATACCATACCACTTTATTAATAAAGCACTTAAAACAGCTACAAAGCCAACCAAAGTGCTATTTCTCATCTCACGTGTGACAAGTATTTAACTTGTCACACGTGAGATGCACCCAGGTGGAGCAGTGGGCAGCTATGTACCATATTTTCCAAACTCTAGTTGCATCTGTCCAAATATGTCGTAATAATTTGGAAAAATCCATAAATGCGCCGCATCTATTACGCGTCACCGCTGACAACCCGGAAATGTGGGCCGGTGTTGTGCCAAAAATCGATTGGCTGCCAAATGGCAGACACAGGAGCGTGCACGGGAGGACTTGAACAAGAATTAAACAAGATTAACACTTAAAAACAATTATTTGTTTGCTCAAAATTATAGTAAAGGTGTGTCTCAGTCGAATTTTTGCTTAATAAATGCACTTTGACGATCAAATTAGCTGCATTTCAAAAGCCGATTTGTGGAAGCGGTAATGCGCAGAAGGACATCTCACTGTGCATTTCTTCTAAATTTACCAAGAAAAGCACCTAAAAGAATTATTTGTTTGCTTGACATTATAGTAAAGGTGTGTCTCAATTGATCTTTTACTTAATGAATGCACTTTAATGGTCAAATTAGCTGCATTTCACCGGGGCAGCGCAGCGAAATTCAGCTGATTTGATGTTTTCTCCAGGCGAGCTGGACGAAGGTGGCAGGCTATGGCAAGCCGATTGTGTCATTAATAGCCACTTTTACCTACTGTACTTCATGACACAATGGCATACCATACTACTCAAGCGCCATCTAGTGGCTGAAAATGGTAGTGTTCAATATTTTCAATGTCAGAATGAATAAAAACGGTCCTATCTCAGCCAAAAATTAGTTTATAAATATGGGGGGACAAAATTGCTTCGGAGTATAAGTCGCAGGGCATGCAATTTAGGCAAAAAGGTGCGACTTATAGGCTGGAAAATATGGTAAACCCCCAGGGATCAATTAGGGATTAGGTGTTTTTCTTATGAGCCATTGGGAACAGGTTTTTTTTTTTTTTCCATTCAACCTTTATTTAGACAGGTAAATCCCATTGAGCCTCAAGGACTCATTTACAAGAGAGACCTTATTTCAACAAAGAATGATGACAACAATGGACAACAGCGACAACAATAAACAGTTATAAAAAGTCATACTCCAGTTTGTTTTTTTTTTGTTGTTTTTTTTTAACAAATAGGATGGCTAAAAAAAGGTAACAAAAAACATCTAGATTCTAAGGTGAATGTAGAAAACTAAAAACAGGAACATGTCTGCATTGGTCCCTGCCAGGAGTCCCAACAGATTTTTAAAGCCACTTGGAGAGGTCAAGGTTGAGAGCTTCAAATGTTTTTGTAAGGTATTCCAGGAAACAGGAGCGGAGTAGGAGAAGGCCCTCTTGCCTAGTTTAGTCCTCACTGAGGGAACACTGCAGGTAATAATGTCCTGAGAGTGCACGCCGTAGATGTATGAGATGTATGAAGGCAGCAGACCAAGAAGTGATTTAAAGATGAAAATGTACCAGTGAGAGAGTCTGCATGAAGTTAATGATGTTCAGTTAACCAGTGAATACAGGGTGCAGTGGTGGGTATGATAATCACAGCCAGTTATGAATCTTAGTGCACCATGAGAGACAGAATCCAACATCTGCAGAGTTCTTGTAGGAGCGTTCATGTAAATAATGTCACCGTAATCAATGGAGGGAAGGAAAGTCACAGATACAAGGCGTTTCCTAGCGTTCAGGGTTAGACAGGATCTTTTTCTGAAAAAGAA